GCCTCGGGTTTTGAATCACCTCTCTCCCACCGCCCGCACGGTGCCGAGAGCTTGGGGAAAAGCGCAGGGAGGGCGAAAGGAAAATAAAATCGCCCCCCAGAAACGCAGAGAGACACACGCAGAGCCCCCCTCGGCAGGCGCCAGAGGCAGCTCCGGAGCGAGAAATACAAAAGCAATAAATAGCTGCGATTCTGATCAAAGCGCCTCGGCGGAATAAAGGGAAGGAGAGAGCGGAAAATAAAGCGAGCGGGGCTGGGGGGGGCATGACAAAAAAAGGGGGGAAAAAAGAGAAAGAAACAGCGAGGTGGGGTCGGGTTGGGGTTGGGGGGGGGATTGTGCGGCAAAAAATAAACAAGCACAAGGAGGGAAAAAGAAGGAGCTGTACCATGGCTAATGTGAAGTTTCCTCATCCAAGGGAATATCTGAGGTGCCTGCCCTTCTGTCGCTGCCGTGGAGGTCGCGATGGGCTCTGCCTGCGCTCGGGGGATGCTGCTGCTTATTGGAGTGCCCTCGTCGGCTCCCGAGGACGCGCTGGTCTCGTCTAGTTCTGTGAAATTTGTGTTGGTGCTGCTGGCAGCAGGAGCCGGCTCGGAGGGGGACGGGGCGGGTTTGCCTCCGTGGCTCTCGCTGTTGGAGCAGGGCAGGGAGTCGGGAGAAGATAAGGAGCAGCTGGACGCCTGTCTAAACCTGCTCTCCTGAGCTGGAGAAGGGAAACCGCGGGAGCTCTCGCCCACAGCCCCAAAGTGACTGGAGGAGGCTGAGCGGTTGATGCTAAGGTCCATCCCATTGTAGTTGTAGCCATAAGAGCTGGAATGCATGGTGCTTGAATCTCTGTAAGAACCGTTCATGGAACTGCCGGTCCCATAATTTAGTAACTGATAGTCGGGGCCATTTGGGTAGCGCCCTGAGAACGAGTTTACAAAGTAAGAGCTCATTTGGGTTATTTTGGAGGGCTTGATTTGTGGCTCGTGGTCGTTATAACCCCGTGCTTGACGATTTATGATGTATTAATGAATTATAGCAATGCACTGTACTTCGTTTTTGCTATGTATGCGGCCAAATATGGGGGGAGGGTGGGGGGTGCGTTTGGGCGTCACGTGCTTTTGTTGACCAGTCGTAAATTCTCGCTGATGACCTCAAGAGGTAATTCATGCTCTATGGTTACAAATAATGACGAGCGCGGAGCCGCTTTAGGCCCAAAGTCGCCCCAAA